CTATGTGATTGTCCCTACAGAAGGACATGATAGGCCATGCTGTTTTTCTTCAGTACTCATGTGGCAATTGAACATGTGAACTTAATTACTTTTCTCTTCTTTTACTAGTTATATTACCCTTTATAATAACTGCATTAAAATTAGAAACACGTATTCCAAGATACATGAGAGCAATTGTATGTTCATATTAAACTGCAGTCCTGATTCAATGATTGATCTACATGATTGCACCCTCTTGTGGTAAGCAGAGCACTAACTAGTTGTATATCTGTAATAAACAGATTGCAAGGTCAAGACTGGAGACCTTTGTGCGTTGTGTTGATTTACTCAGGATGAGATGATGGATGTCCATTTTGGGAAAATAACGCCTAGAGATTAAAATTCTGCACTCACAGCTGACTAGATGAACTTTAATTAGACTATGTAGTTTAAAACTTGCAAATTCTTGTACTATTGGATTTGCTTTTGAATGTTCTCTAGATTTTAAATATGTAATTGTTCTATTACCTGTTTTAGTTTGCATCATACATTTTTAAAGCTCTTATTCTGTTATGCCTTTTTTTTTTTCTGAACTGCTTTTCTGAACTGTTCAACAGTATCAGTTACTTAAAAACTGCTTACTGATTGTCTTGGAAGCACTAAGTGGCAAGGCACCCTCAAGGGAATGAAGAATAGTTCCATAGGTAAAGTAAATCAGTATCTCAAATAAGATAGTGACAGCTTTGATAGAAAAGGAGTGCTCTTCCAGGCTTATATGATACAGTTGTTCTCACAAAACATCTTAATACTGCATGGGCAACATTGCACCAGGATAACAGGTAAACAGTTGAAAGTGACCTCAAGCAGGGATCTCTTTGTCACGATTTAGCCACTGTCTACAACCTGTGGACTTCTTAAAGCTATGTTGAGATGCATATATGTTAAGTTTCTGGGATTCATAAAACCTTGTTTGGTTCACAAACCTTGGGCAGGGATGCCTCACCCTAGACCATGTCATCCAAGGCTCTGTCCAGCCTGGCCTTGGACACTGCCAGGGATGGAGCCACTTCTTTGGGCAGCCTGTTCCAGTGCCTTGCTACCCTCACAGTAAAGAATTTCTTCCATATATCTAACCTGAACTTCCCCTGTTTAAACCCGTTACCCCTTGACCTATCAGTACAGTCCCTGAAGAAGAGTCCTTCTTTGGCATCCTTATAGGCCCCCTTCAGATACTGGAAGGCTGCTATGAGGTCTCCACGCAGCCTTCTCTTCTCCAGGCTGAGCAGCCCCAACTTTCTCAGCCTGTCTTCGTGCTCCAGCCCCCTTATCATCCTCGTGGCCCTTCTCGCGACTTGCTCCAACAGCTCTATGTCCTTCTTATGTTGAGGACACCAGAACTGCACACTATACTCCAAGTGAGGTCTCACAAGAGCAGAGTAGAGGGGCAGGATCACCTCCTTTGACCTGCTGGTCATGCTTCTTTTGATGCAGCCCAGGATATGGTTGGTTTCTGGGCTGCAAGTGCACAGTGTAGCTGGCTTATGTCAAGCTTCTCATCAACCACCACCCCCAAGTCCTTCTTCACAGGGCTGCTCTGAATCTCTTCTCTGCCCAACCTGCAGCTGTGCCTGGGGTTGCCCTGACCCAGGTGTAGGACCTTGCACTTGGCTTGGTTTAACTTCATGAGGTTGGCATCAGCCCACCTCGCAAGCGTGTCCAGGTCCCTCTGGATGGCATCCCTTCCCTCCAGCGTATCAACCGAGCCACACAGCTTGGTGTCATCGGCAGACTTGCTGAGGGGGCATCAATCCCGCTGTCCATGTCACCGACAAAGATGTTGAACAGGATCGGTCCCGACAGTAACCCGTGAGGGACACCACTTGTTACTGGTCTCCAGTTGGACATTGAGCTCTTGACTACGTCTCTCTTCATATGGCCATCCAGCTGATTTGTCATCCACTGGGTGGTTTGTCTTCTGTTGTCAGATTTTCCTCTTCCATAGTACACTTGTTGTTCTTCCATGGTACATTTGTTGTTTTTAAACATCACTGGAGACTCTTCCTTAATCTTCTTAGTTAAGAAAGCAGTTTGTGATATTATTGGGAGATTACATCCCTTGGAAAGTGTGCTAGATTATTTATTGAATATGGGAAAGAAGCAAGAGAGGACAGACAATCTTTGCATTGAGGGTATACCGAACATTATTAGGCATTGGGCAGCCCCATCCCATGCAAAATCTTGGTAGAGAAATTCAGTTAGCTACAGTTACTCTTCAGGTGAACTGTAACATGTTCCTGTTATGAAGACTTGCGAAGGGAAAATGTGAAGTTCAATTTATACTTCAGCTGATATTTTTTGAATTAGTTCTTTGTTTAATATGACAGTGCTATCCACTGTTGTGCTTTGAATTATTTGCTCACTGCTCCTGAGAGAACAGATACCTAGTTTCTTGTAAGTAAGCCTTACAAAAAATTACTTACTAGTTTGAGGATGGCCCCTGTGTGTGCAGAATATTCATAGGAGTTTTCTCCTTTGTTTTTGAGTACTTTGCATTTCAGGACTCTGCAAGTTAGGGAGAGGAATTTGTAATCGCTGACACAATGTCTGTAGATCTGCCTTTTTAAGTAGGAAGAACTGAAGATGATACCTTAGCACAAAAAAGTTTTCTGCATGTCTGTCCCCTCTTTCCTGTGACATGGTTCTGTATTATAATTCTGAAGCTCAGTGAAAGAGAAGACAAATCACTTGAAAGTGAGTGCCCAGAAGCAAATCAAAGGACAGTAATAGTAGTGAATAACCATTTCTTATTGAGTATTTAGATCTGCACAATGACATGATTTCTCTTTTCACTCATTTTAACAGATTTTTCAAAGACTTATCTATGCTGATAAGCAAGAAGTTCAAGGAGATGGGCCATTTTTGGATGGAATTAATGTCACTATAAGAAGAAACTATATTTATGAAGATGCTTATGATAAACTTTCTCCTGAAAATGGTAGGCTTACAGTTAAGTTGTCAGCTTGTTTCTAACATTTAACCATTCTTACCATGTAGTTACTACTTGCTTACTTGAGTAGGATATTAAAAGTGTATCAGCTCTAAGGTGTGAAAGTTCTTACAGAGTTAAACTTCCCCAATTTTTACATAAAGTAATTCTCATCCACATTCTTCTTGATTAATGCAGTCTCAGTCTCTTGAACACACCCTTCCTTAGTTCAAACCTACTTTTGTGGGGCTTTTCTTCCCACTTACCTGCCAATAAAACTGCAGTTTGTATGTTTATCTTTATAGTTTATTAGATACTATCTGCTTTGGTAATCTGTGTCAAGAAATATATCTAGACTGCACCGGATTTGCTAGGTATAGCATGGCTGATAATGTTAATGCAGCACACTTTGATAGTATGGAGAAGTATATATTTTACCCTGTTGATTTAAATCATACCCGAGTGTGATTTTGTGTGACAGCAGCTACTCTAGAAACCAAAATTCCAGTGTAGACAAAACATGTCAAAATGAAGTCCTTATTAGCTGTATGGTATTTTTGCATATAAAAAGAATATTTGCCAAATACTCAAGGTTTGCCATGTGAATTTCACCTGCTGTGCCACATAAGTTCCCTCCTGGAGGACCACTTACTTCAGAGAGGAAGTAGTGTTGGTATTCTTGTTTTGTATAAAATTACTGGAGATCATACTTAATTTCTTTTACTCTGGAATTGGAAAATAGAAAAAGTTGGGTCTGTTGTGTTGCCCTTTCTTCTCTCCCCAGATATGTGAAAATACAGTATAGAAACTGCAGTCTAAGCTTTTGAATAATGCAATGTGATGTAACAGACAAGCCAGCCTATTTGTTTAATAAGAAGATAGCTTTAACTGAGAAGCACGTTCTCTGTGAAGACTACATTTCAACTTCATGTAGCTTTATTAAACTAGTAAACAGTTTTAGAATGCATGTTTCCTAAGCTTAACGTAGTCTACAGTCTGGGATGTGTTCCACCATTAGTGAGGTCACAGGCAATAGGAAATTGAGGGGAGTAGTCAGTATACTGGAAGGTCAGGTTGCCACTTGAGTGGCCCTCAACAGTCTGAAGTAAAAGGCTTACAGAAACCTCATGAAGCTTAGGAAAGACCACATCCTGTACCTGTAGCAGTACAAACTGAGCACTGACTGGCTAGAAAGTTTTTGTTTCAGTAAAGGACTGTGGGGTTCATAGTGGACAACAAATTGAACAAATGAAGAGTTCCCCTTGGTGAGATGAAAGCTAACTGCGTACTGGGCCGTATTAGCAAGAACATAACTCACAGTTTCAGCACTTATGAGCTGTGTCTGGCTTTGGATTTCCCAGTACGATTTCAAGACTATAGAATGAATCAACTAAAATCAATCTGGGAGACTGAACAGATGATAGATGAGGTTCTAGAGTTAATGAGGAGAGAGTGAAGAACATTGATTTGGAAGAGGCATCCAGTTTGTCTACTGGCCCTGAGAAGAGAGCTGTTCAAAGTTAATGTTTCTGTAGTACCTTAACTGAGATAATTAAGTTTATTAAGAAAACAATCTTGGAGTAGCAGAAATGTACTAGGTTGATTCTTGTGGATTTATATTTTCATATGGTTGTCATGCTCAATAATGTGCAAGCATTTTATCATTTTTATTCCTGTAACTGTAATTTTCAGAATATTCCACGATAGCCTCCAGTGGACTCCAGTGACAGTTCAGTTACATTCTAGTTATGAGTTATAAAACGAACTCAGCTTTGCAGAGGGTCCACCTCTACCTGATCACCTGTTCTGACATATGAATTTGTTCTAGGATCATTCTTCTCTCCTTGCTGAAAGTCTGGTTGTCAGTACATAGAGGAAGAGGCAAATAGTTGTCTTCATAGGACCCCAAAAAGCACTGAACCAACATTTTCCATATATAAAAGATTTAACATTAATGCTCTGTATCTCAGGAGTCTCTAGGCAAAGCGTGTCTGTATGCTTTAGACTCTTTTGCCAGTGGTCTGTTTTCTTGTTTTGAATGGTGATGAGTGAGCGGACCTATTGCAGTGCCTGTGGCTACAAATGGCCATCTGCTATTTACAGGAAGCAGAATCTTTGTGTAGGAGAGCATTTAACTTGAACAAAACACTAATAGGTAAAAATAATTAAGTATGAAGTGGGAAATTAGTAGCAGATGTAGGGACATTTGCTAACGGGAGAAAGACACTTGGTGGTTCAGGAGAAATTCTGTTGCTACAAGGTGCTGAAGATACCTTCATAAACATCAACTGTCCACCCAAAATGTGTGCATTTGTAGCACGTGGAAGTGTTAGCAAGTTTTATTGCTATTAGTTAATTACTGGTTGCTTTGCTGGGATGCAAGTGTAGTCAATACAGGGATTTGCATAAAAGTTGTGTATTTGGTTAGATCTTGGGAAGCCTTCATGAATTGAGAAAAAAGGATCTTCTTCCTTGTTACATATACATAGTTCAACAATTAATTATTGCTTTTTTCTCAAGTAGCAGCATTCTATGAAACAAGTGGAACACCTGCCTTTGGAACATGTCCAACTTTACCACACCTTGTTCACTGGAATTACGTGACATAGCAATGAGTCCAGAGTATCAAAAATACTATGTTTAATTTCAAATACTATAATGGTGTAGCGTAACAATAAACCCCTCTAAGGGAATGCAGGGTTTATTGATGGTCCTTTCAGACAGAAGGATTTTATATAAACAGTTTTCAAATTATTCTTGGTTCTTCTTAAAATATTCTGTGGGTTTGGTTTTTTTCCTTCCTCTACTAAATGTCTTGCCATTCCATCTTTTGATGGCTCTTGCAGCAAGATCCTTTGTTCAAAGCAAGTTTCACGTACTGAATTTGCCAAAATTCAAGCCAGTAGTAGGTTTTTGCTACTGTTTACTAGTTCAGTGTTTTTATGTAAAGTTAGTATAGATATGTTTGCATGTGTAGATACATGTGTTTTTATCCAAACAAAATTCAAGCAGATAGTTGTATTTGTGACTCTCCTTTCTCTGCAGAACCTGACCTAAAAAAGCGCATTCGTGTTCACTTACTTAATGCACATGGTCTTGATGAAGCTGGTATTGATGGTGGTGGCATTTTCAGAGAATTCCTGAATGAACTACTTAAATCAGGATTTAACCCCAACCAGGGATTTTTTAAGACCACCAATGAGGGACTTCTTTACCCCAACCCTGCTGCCCAGATGCTCGTTGGAGACTCTTACGCCCGACATTACTACTTTCTTGGAAGAATGCTTGGAAAGGTAAAAGCAGTGTTGTATAATATAAAGCTATAGCAGTACTGGAATTGTTCAGTAATGTTATGTTTTCTTTTTGTATAGGGGTAGATGGGTTAAAAAATTACATGTTTTTCCAGAATTGAGGAGGAATAACTGTCATATGTTGGATCTGAACATTATTTCTACATATCGCCCAAATGTCTGGTACAGTTTAGTAAGCTACGTACTAGAGTAGTACAGAGAATTAGAGATACCGTGACTGCCAGCTAAGCAAAGTGTGCATATGTCTGCTCCTGTATTTAGTGTCTTCCTTAAAGCTGATTAAAGCTAATAGAACTGCTCTGATTAGGGGGATTTTTAACCTGGAGCTTTCTGGAATTTGACTGCAGTTACATTTTCATCATTTGGAATACAAGAAATTAATGTTTTCAAAAATAGTGTCTAGTTGTATAAGGTACAATTCTTGCTAGTATTTAAAATTTGCCATGAGTATTTACCAGACTTTAATGCCATATGATAGCTAAGTTTCACTTATTCTGCTTGGGGGTTTTTTTGTGTGTTTTGCACCCTGGTATTTTGCTGGTGTGACTGTTCAGAGACTAATATACGCTTGTTGGGCTTGATGAAAAGCGAAGGGGCAGGGAGGAAAAAAAGAGAAACCATTACAAACATTCATTACATTAAATTTTCTTTTATGGTCAGTTTTAGTACTGGGGCACTTTCGTTTTAAGTCCTTGAAATAATTTTTGTAAAGCTAATAATTGAGGGACAAAGTTTGGAATACAAATTCAGAAAAAAATGTATTGATTGCTTCTTAGCTGTCTAAACCTGAAGGTATTTAAGATGTAGAAGTCCCATTTAACTGCCTGAGGTATTTTGGAGGCTAAAATCCTGCTGGCTTGCAGTGAGATTTAACATAGTTGGATGTCCTTTTAGTGTAGGTGGAAGTGGTTTAAGAGGATGTTGTTGGCAAACTAGAGTTGTGGAAACAGAGCGCTGTTCTTTAGATCTGCCAGTCAACAGATTGAGATTAAACTGCTACCTTGTAGGCAAATTCTCTCCTAACGCATCCTAGCTATTTCAATATACAAACTTGGTAAATAATGAAAATTCAAGTCAGCCATTTCAATAAAATAATATAATCTCTGAAGGATGTTCCTGCTCCTAATGGGAGATGGATTCATTACTAATACAATAGTTTGTAATTATGACCTATGTTACATATCCAAGGCTCCATTTTCTTTCTGCATCTATAGATTTTTGGAGTGGATAAGTAAATACTGCTGTGGTATTGTGAGGAAGTTACTTCACTCCAAAAATTAGTTTAGAATTTATCTAAGGAACAGAGCAGGGGTCAATTGTTAAGGGGAAGTTTTGAAATATTATCAAGAAAAATAAATTGTAGTTTTGAATCTTTAATTTCCTCTGTCAAGACAACACATTGTCTTCTGTAACTGGATTTCAAAGATTAGCATAAAGACTAAAGTTGCAAAATGTGTTTTATCTCCCATACAGTGCTACAAGTATAGTTTTGGTTTTAGTCTTTTTAATATTAGAAGATCTATTATTTAACATTTGGAAAGCATAAATTGTTTTTGTATTTGCAGTATGTTTACATAAAGTAAGAATTGACAGTGTTACTTAATAATTACCCCTACCCAGGTGCACAGACACCTTTTTAGTAGTGTATTTAGAGACTTGATGAACTAAACAGAAAGATAAGGCACGACCACACTATTAAAACCCTGCCGGTATTGTGATCTTAGTTAAGTTATTGAATACTCACTCATCCATTTTCAAAAATGTTTCCATTTGATGCTTTGCACAGGGTTATTTGAGAGCAATAGTGGATTATTAAAAGCCCCTTTGTAAACAAAGTAGATCTAATGCAAAGGAAGCAATCGGGCATCCACAGCAATTTCTTATTTGTGGAAACCACTATGTAAAGAGTGCTGCCACCAAAAACCCTCACATAAGAAGTTTCAATGTTATCAGAAAACAAATACATTAAAATATAATAATTTATAGAAACTCTTTGTCTCTTGGAAACCATTTCATACTAACACCCAAATGCATTTAACTTTCAGTACCATAGATTTACACCTAATTCAGTTTTTCTTCCCATCAGGAATTTTTTAACAGCTTGACGTCTTCTGTGTTAATTGGTCAGTTCAGAAGCAGAAATATCTGAAAATTTAAAACATGCCTTTAAAAATGGTGTATCTTAAAAATCATTTTAACCTTGGATAAATTACTGACAATTTTTGGGGTGTGCTTTTGTAGTTACTGAAGAAATTGTAATCTGTATAGTATATAAATTGCACCGCTGTCCATGCAACTTTTACTGATCACTGAATGAGCAGAAGGTCTTGTAGAAATAATACAATGTGATCATGTAATTGCCTATGTTTGAAATAATTCTTAAGAAGAAAAAAAGGGGGGGGGAGGGGCAGAAATAAGTTTGCTTAAACAACAGCTACTCAAACACTTCCAAAGTTTACATTTCTCAACTTTCAGTGACTTAACTCTGTAATGTAAATATTATTTTAACAACGGTGCCTTTTAAGCTTTTCCTTTCTCTTCCTTAAAAGTAGAAGCTCAGCTTACCGTGCATGCCTCTGGGAGCAGTCTCCCACCACTGCAGGGTTTGCAACTTGAACTTTCCAGTTTTGCCCACTGGAAGCATAGCAGTGACTTTCTGAGTTCCAGGCTTCCCCTGAGAGCTGAGGGGTGTCCTGGGCTATCAGGGATTTTCACACAGAGGTGTTCCAGCCCCAAATTATCTTTGTTGTCCTCTCTGGAAAGTGAAGTCTTGTCGTTCTTTGTGGTGCCACAGAAGTATGGGTGGGACATTGTAATCCTTTTGCTCTCTCGGGAGGTGGGATTGGGCTGTGGGGAGGCACATGATTTGGTTTAACTTCCTTTCCACATGCAGTAGTTGTTCTGGCAGCACTAAAAACCTTTCCATGGGCAGACTTTCTTGCTGCAGCCTTCCAGTGTAGTGGACTTGGCTTAGGACAACACAAAAGTTGCTATTTTGACAGCCTGCCAAAACTTCAAGCAACATAGGCAGGGAAGGGAAGTTTGGAAGCAACACCTGAAAATCTTAAAAGGATTTCCTCCATGCTGGTTCTTGAATGGTCTGCTGCAAATCTGGAAGGGGTAAAAACGCCTGTTAACCATTTCAGCAGAAACAGTGATCAGCAGAACAGTGACAGATACAGAATTAAAATCTGAATTTCACCATGCTCAAACCTAAACTTGGTCTTGGATACTGTTATTATCTTTCTCCATTTCCAGTTCACATTTGCATTTATTCAGTGATGTTAATGTGGCAGATGCTGCGGAAAAGGATGTTCTTCGCATTTGGAATTGCTTGACATCAAGTAGCTAATTCTTGTGACAATTTACTTAAATTTCATGAAGTATCAGCATTAGTTTAAGAATATGGCAGGAAGTCTAAAGAAAGCTTAGAATGATAATTTTTATGGTTTCCTCTTCCTTTCTGACATAAACCTGCTAGTTTTTGCATGTAATATGTTTTACAATAATTGTCTTTGCACCTTTGACAAAGTGACTGTGACACTAGTGATTTTTTGCCTAATACGCTCAGGATCTTTGGTTATACTGAATGCTGCCATCTCCAGTTCTCTTATTCCAGCATATTGAAGAGCACTAGTGAGTCATACATAGATGTTTCTGAAGAACATACGCACTATCTTTGAAATACAATTTTAAGTCTCTTTTACTAAGCAATAGAATCTGCACTCCTTGGAGGACACCAGAGTTTTCTGAAAAGATTTAGATTTCTTCTCCCAAGTCTTAGCTTTTGTCTTAAATGGTTGGAAAGCAGTATAAAAAGCAAAATGAGTTTTGAAATGAGTTCCTCCTTTGTGGATCCAGATAAAGAACTTTGATAGAAGAAGCGGCAAGGTCTGAGCAAACCCAGTTTGAAATTTTAGTAGGGTTTTGATGATGGATAGATGAGGCAATGTAGGTTTAGTCTTTGATCATTACTGTTATATAGAAGGTCATTAATTTACATGGCCTGATGGATATTGCATTGATGAAGGTTTAGTTTGTTTATTTGCATATGACTTTTTACAAGTTATTATGCTGATTTAAGATATAATGGACTGCTCTCTGTAGATATCTGAATGTTTTTAAACACACATGACTGAAAAAAGTTACATGTCTTTTGGTAAAATTAAGCTTTTGAAGGGTAATAGTAGATAAAATACAAATTTTATTACCCCAGTAGTAAATACGGGACCATTAATTATTAATAAGAATATTTTTCTATATCTTAAGAGTGTGTCCTGTGGTTACTGTTTGTAACTTTGTATAGAGCTGTGATAGCTTATTTGTTGTACAAGGTATGATTCCTGTCTGGAAGGTATAATCCTAAGAATAGCAGTGTCCACGGTATCCATTTTGCAGAGAAACTATAGTAGTACTCAATCATCCTTGGGCCTTATCTACAACAGATTTAATCAATGGGAGTCTTTTCACAGCATGATCTGGATCAGATCCTAAACTCTTAAATCATTTATAAGCTGCACATATAGAGTTAAAACCTTCAAGCAAGTATTTCTGGTAACATATTTGTGCCCCCTTTCTGTGCCAAAAGCTTGTAGGGAGAAAACAAAGCAAGAAAACTCTGCAATGAGAAGAACTGGGTTTTGTATACATGAATATTTCGTAGGATACTGCGTCAAGCGTTGTGCTGCTATTTGTCCTTTGTTGACTGTTGGAGGGTGGCTTTTTTTTCTTTTTCTTCTTCTGATTTTTAGGCTACCTTTTCCTTTTGCTTACTCTCCAATTAATTAAGATCCACTTTGGTTTGGCTTAACTCAGTAAACTGTTAATTGATTAGTACTGCAGCCAAAATTCATACTACTAGTATCTAGAAAGGTAGGTCTGGAATTAGTGGTACTGATACAAAGAGGACGTAATTTCTATAAAAAATTTATTTTATTAATTTCAGTTACCCTGCGCATGATTTTGTAGACTCAGCATTTTGC